AAAATTTATATTTTCAGATAAAGTGTTATGTAAAAATAGGTTTGCTCAAAATATTGTGAAACGAAGCTAAAGTTTAAAAAAAAAAAAATGCCAATTATAAGAGTCAAACTTTCAAATCTCAACTTAATAAACCAGAGACCCAAAACAACTAAATCCAAACTGGCCTGACCTCTTTGGTAGGTATAATATTCTTTTTATCAATTATGCTAATTTTGTCTTATATTAGGTGGCAGGTTAGGTACGTTAACAATTTTTCTATGCCCAAAATACTTTAGACTTTAGTCCCTACAATTCACGCTTTGGAAACAAAATTTTCGCTAAATAAAATCTAAAATATCAAAATTTGCCTTACGTTCTCTCTGTGGTGGCCTAATCACAGAATCCTGGATTTTCCTTTTATTTTAAGCTCAAATAAGTTTTACTCATAATATTTTCATTTATTAACCTAGCTCTAGCATAGTAAGACAGATAGCCCTTATTATTTAAAACATAGGTCCAATGAGTGTGAATTAATGGACTAAGCCGAGAAACATGTCTCCAAAGCCCAATTTAAATTAGCAAAAGTGCAAAACCCATATAAAACTTAGGTCTATCCCTTTTCTTGTTGCTTTCTCTTTTTCCCTTATTTTTTCTATTTTGTTTTGCAGAGGCTGGAAGTAGCTGAGTTTTCTGGTCTCCATTCCAGCTTTTGCGTGACATATGCTACAATGCCAAAGGAACTTCTTTTTCGAAGGTGGTGGCTGCTCAGCTTACTCCTAAGGTTGATTGCCTACTTCAACCTTTTGATCTTTTCTGAGTTTTCTTTCATGTTTTTTGCTTGTGCACAGAGATTAGACCAGTGATACTAATATCTTTCTAAAAATGTTCAGTGCTTTCTTGCAATATTTGGGACGATTAAGCTGTTCTGGAGTTTTGAGTCCATATAAACACTTTTTTGTATATTCTAATTGTCTTGTCTTTTTTTAAAAGTAAGACAATTGATCAGATCTTACGAGCTTTGGATTAGGCTGCATGAAAGGAAATTTCCCTGCCTTCAACTTTTGATGAATCTCATGATGTCTTCTATGAAAGAAAAAGCGCATCATCCTTGTGAATAATTAGCTGAATAGTGAAAATATACCAAAAAAAGTACAAAGTACTTTCAGCATGAACCTTATGTTCCTAAAATATAGTTTGTTGTGAGGCACCGTTTTCGTGGTTCTGACTTCTGATGGGTATTTCCAAATTTAGACAGTAGCATCAACTCCAGTCAGGAGAGAAACGGTTGCCAAATTGAAGGTTGCAATCAATGGATTTGGACGCATTGGCAAGAACTTCCTTCAGTGCTGGTATGGCCGGAAAGACTCACCCCTTGATGTGGTTGTTGTTAATGACAGCGGTGGTGTCAAGAATGTAAGTAACTGACAGTTTCTCTGACTATAGTTAACATTAGCATGTGATATTAATTAGTTACATTCATCAACTTCTGGTGTGCCATATAAACACAGGCTTCACATTTGTTGAAATACGATTCAATGCTTGGAACTTTCAAAGCAGAAGTCAAAATTGTGGATGATACAACCATTAGTGTTGACGGCAAGCCAATTAAGGTTGTCTCTAACAGGGATCCTCTCAAGCTTCCGTGGGCTGATCTTGGCATTGATATTGTCATTGAGGTGGGTTCTTGCACCACTTTCTCATCAATTGCAGTTCTCTAAAGCATAGTTTCTCACCAGCACAAACACTTCAGGTTCCAGTTTCATAGTAGCAATCTTTTCAACAACTCTACTGGATTACTGAACTATGCAAAGGGATGGAAATTTAATTAATGACAAAATTTTAGTAGTCTTTTTAGATGACTGGATAAATTCATATGCATTCTTCAGGGAACAGGAGTTTTTGTGGATGGCCCTGGAGCTGGGAAGCACATTCAAGATGGTGTTAAGAAAGTTATCATCACTGCTCCAGCAAAAGGTGCAGACATTCCAACTTATGTTGTTGGAGTCAACGAAGGTGACTACTTTCACGAGGTCTCAAACATCATAAGGTTAGTACCTCCAAAGAAATGATTGCTCATAAAGCAGTGTGAAAATTTTTTCCTAGTTCTTGATGCTATAATTTATAAGTGGTTCAATGTCGGTAATTGCAGTAATGCCTCTTGCACCACAAATTGTTTGGCCCCTTTTGTGAAAGTCATGGATGAAGAATTGGGTAAGCACTTCTTTACATTCACTCAGATGTAAACTCAATCAGTTCAGGCAAATTTCAGATAACCACAGTTATGAGTTTTCTTTGACTTCATTGAAGGTTGGAAACTGATGTGCAGGAATTGTCAAGGGAACAATGACAACCACCCATTCATCTACTGGAGATCAAGTACTTGCATTGACCAAAATACTACCAGGATTCAGAGCTTAAGCTAATTCAAAGAATTTTGAATTCTAAATAAATTCCAACAGCAAAAGTTGGAGATTTATTTGAACAAAGAAGGCTAAATTGTTGCTTGTGATTGTGCAGAGACTCTTGGATGCTTCACACCGTGACTTGAGGAGAGCTAGGGCCGCAGCATTGAACATAGTGCCAACAAGTACCGGTGCAGCCAAGGCTGTCTCTCTTGTATTACCGCAGCTGAAGGGCAAGCTCAATGGTATTGCACTCCGTGTACCAACACCAAATGTTTCAGTGGTTGACCTTGTTGTGAATGTTGAGAAGAAGGGGATTACAGCTGAGGATGTCAACGCTGCCTTTAGAAAAGTAGCTGAAGGGCCATTGAAGGGCATATTGGCCGTCTGTGATGTTCTTCTTGTGTCAGTGGATTTCAGGTGCAGTGATATTTCTTCTACCATTGACTCTTCACTAACCATGGTAATGGGAGACGACATGGTTAAGGTGGTGGCCTGGTATGACAATGAATGGGGATACAGGTTAGGATACATTCCTAAAAAACTTTCCTGTTTCTAACTACAACCATATTTGTGCCTTACTAGTCAGTAACATGATGGGTAATTGCAGCCAAAGGGTCGTTGACTTGGCACATCTCGTGGCAAGCAAGTGGCCTGGAATGCCTGCTGCAGGAAGTGGTGATCCCTTGGAGGATTTCTGCAAATCAAACCCTGCTGATGAAGAATGCAAAGTTTATGAAGCTTAGATCATTCCAATTTTCTTCTCAGGATGAATGCTGTAATAACCAGGTTTTCACAGATTCTTATTTTATAATGACAGTTGATTCATCATGAACAGAATAATCTTTTGAAATAGCCAATGCTGTTAATGATACTGCTTCTAACTCTTATTCTATTGTTTTTAACTCTCAAAATCCAAGATTAACGAACATATTCCAATTAATTTCTATGAGATTAGTTAATTATTCTACAATTTTTTGTTCCATGTTAATTAAATTTATTAGTTAAACCAAACATCAATTTTCCAATGTTAAAATTACTATGAGGTTGATTGGTTGAAGAGCTTGGCATACCAAGGCATATTTGGGAAGAAAAACATGCACGTGTCTTCTCCATTTGCCTGCATCCATCTGATAGGATTGTTTCTTCGAGCTCTTTTCTTTTCCTTGAACTAAGCCAATGGCAATTGCATCAAGAAGTGAGCAATATCATTATCCCTACATGTTATTATTAATTTTTAGAAACATCAGAAATTGTAGGTTTCCAAGCCATAGGCAGGAGTTGAACTCCCAACCTAGGAGTTTAGGCTTGGGTGGTGAACTCTTAGGCTAGCTAGTTAAGGCCAGTTCCTCTACATATTAATTAACTACTGAAGAAACTATGAAATTTAAATATCAACTATTGTTGTATGCTAGACTTTCATGCTTAAGAATGTTCCAAAAAAGTAGTAAACTGGCGTGTATAATCAGAGATTTCACACTCATACCTACAGAAGATGAAGTTGTTCAATCGCTTGGAGCCAATTTCCAGTGTATTTTATTTGTCTCCTCCAAGGTTGAAGCATCTCGTGTTGCCAATCTGATCATTGAAATTGATTCAACGTCAGCTTCTGCTGAAGCCTGCATCTCACAATCCATGTTGAATGTTAAAAGAAATTTTCTCTCCTAGTTGAATTTTTAATGTTAGATGTCACAGACACTGCTACAGACTACCTGGCATGTAATGTAACTGATTTTGAAGCAATTGTCTCCATTATAGTAAATCAAAATATCTAGACATAGGGCATTATGAAACATGAAAAATTAGTTGAGTACCAAGTTGCACAGAATTGTGTCTATACATTTATAAAGCTCACTTTTCCAAGTAAGTCTTCTTTTCAAATTTCAATAGTAAAAATTGACAAGTAGAGCTATACTACCAGACTGTATTAAGTTGAACTAAAGCTGTTCTTTTATAGGAAAAGATCATAGCAAACTTAGTAGCAAAGCGCTCGAATTTTACCTGAATGATCCTTGTTTAGGCTGCAGACAAAGAAATTGACATGAGAACTGTCTAAAAATTGACATGAGAACTGTCTAAGTATCAGAGACAAGGAGTTCCTCTTTATGAATTAAAATACAGCAAATTTGACTATAGAACATATATAGTCATGGTAATATACCTCCCCATCAGTGAAAGCAATTGTGCCCCGCTGGTCCGAGCAACCGGAGTGCTTCTCTTGGTAAAACCAAAAATTACAGTTCGAGGACAGTTTGTGCTGCAAAATATATGCATACATTTCATGGAAGAATCAGAAGCATGATATATTGATCTGTACGTATGTATACATTTCTAAAGAGGAGAATAACCACCAATCAGGTTGGATAGCATGACATACCAGAGTAGTAAAAGAAATGATTTGGGATGCTACAAGCCTTTGTCTTCTCCATTCTTACATGATAAAAACAAAAAATTAAATTAAATTAAATTAAATTAATAATAATAATAATAATGGGATTTTTAGGGTGGACTGCATTTAAAAACATCAGTTTGGAGTGGGAAAAGATGAAAATACCATTGATGGACATTGGAGACAAAATAAATTTAAAAAAAAGGGGCCTATTAAATGTTGATCAATTAATTGTTGAGGTTATGATCAAACTAATTTCATTAGTGTTTGGATTTTTTGGGAAAACAATTTATGACGTAGAAAAGAAAGATTGAAATCAAGCTATCAAAAAAATGGAATGGAGAATTACCAATTTCGTCTGGGGTTCATGTATCTTTGCGACGCACACTGTTGCCGTCGCCGTTGCCGTCGCCACCGCCGCCGCCTCGCTATGAGACGTTCATTGACACACTTAAAATGTAGAGCTAAGTTGCATTCAGAGTGAGCGCATTTAATACTTAGATCTTCGCAAGGATGGCCACAGGAACTACACTTCGGATAGGGATATTTCTCACTCTGGAAATATATGAGAGTTAGTTCATGAGAATCACATCTACTATAGTCATCATTATAGTCACCATCATAGTCACCATCATAGTCACAATAATCATAATAATAATAATCATCCTCATCATAATAATAATGATCATCATCATAATCATCACGATAGATGCTACCGCGCTTGATGAATGGGTATTCTCCAAGAACGCAATCAGGATGAGCATCAAAATCGCACTCATCACACCGATAAAACCAGAGCTTTGGATCTCTTCTATCTTCACAGATTTCACACATGTGTTGAAATGGATCACCATCATCATCCTTGTAAGGATCTTCATAAGTGAGTTTTAGAGGGTGATGGTGGAACCTATGTTGAACTTCAAGGGGCCGTGTCAGGCATCTGTAGTCTAAGGCAAAAAATTTGCAATTCTCCTCTTCCTCTGCTAGCGTGCATCTGTAACCACCATAATCACCCATTTCCTTACCGCAGCCACTACATGGTCCCTTGTGATTTTCATCACAGAAGAGGAAGTGCTGATCAGCATGTGCTTCATGCTTAGTGATGAAATCGATCTCACTACATCTGTGACAAATTTTCCTCCAAATTTCCCTCCACTTACCATCAACTCCTGTCCAGATAGAACGAAAACCGCTGCAGTCATACTCACAAAATCGACACTCAAAATGGGACTCCATGGTAACTCCAACAGGATCTCGGGAAGCCCAATGTGGTTTGTCCTCTCCAATTTGGGCACATACCTTGTGAAGGGAGAAATTACACTCTGGTTGTGGACAACTATAAGCGGCCTCCAAGATCGGTAATGCACACCCATCGCAACATTTTTTATCACCATTCATAATAATCTCCTCCTTATCAAGCACTAATTCATGCTCGTGGCTGAAATGATCTATCTTGTCTCCTAGCGCCACAGCACAACTTGAAGAAGAAGAAGCCTCATCATCACTTTCCTCATTCTCTGACTCAACTTCGATATAAAGACGACCTTTGTTCTTTTTTACGCAACTCCCATGAAGAACATAAGTACAATCTGAGTGCAAACATTTGTAACTCCCATACTCTGCCACCACCTTTTTGAAACAGAATTGACAGGTCCATTTTTCACCCACTTTTTGTGGAAACCTGTAGTTGTGGCCGAGTATATGATGATTGTGCAGTTTGAATTTGATGAGTTTTGGCAGGAAAATACAATCCCGATGGATCATGATGCTACACTTCAAACAAACATAGCGAGCACCATCTCCTTCCGCCCCACATGCATCGCAAATGAAGGGATTTTTCCTCATGAATGGGCTCAACTGGTGGTCATGGATCTTACTTTTATGGAAGGACTTGGGTAAGGTACAGGTACACTCATGATGAATATAAAAGCGACAAGCGGAGCATTTATATCCAAATTTCTTCTCATCACTTTCATCTAGGCAAAAGTCGCAGGTATAATATGCTGAGAATACAAGAATAAGAGGGTGTTTAGGGTGGGCAACATGATCAATCCTAGACCACAACTCTGCCTCACATTCTTTGTGAAGGAAAAATCCACAATCAGGACAATTGTAAAAAGAAGTGCCCAATAATGGTTTTGAGCAAACAGAGCAGGAAGAATATATTTTAACTTCGTTGCTAAGCATTTGGACAAAGATGAGTGGGTGTTCAACGTGGCTAAAATGATGATCACGTTTTGGGAAATTTCCAGTGAGGAATTCTGGGAGCAAGGCACATTTGATGTCAAGGTCAAATTCACAACAAGAACAAGAACAGTGGTAAACAAATCCATCGACTGTACCTCTACAAAACATACAAATTGCATGCACATATCCGTATGGGGAATCATCTAGAAGAATGAGAGGATGCTTATCATGGAAGGGGTGAGTGATGTTCAACGGTAGCTCAGAACATGATTTATGAAGGAAAAACTCACAGTCAATGCATGCATAGAATTGAGTTGAGATTGGTTGCCCACATCCTGATGAGCAATTTACACCTCTAGTCTCACCGTGGACATTATTGCTCCACTCTTCAAAGAAGTGCAGTGGATGTTCATGAAGAAAGTATTTGGGCTTCATCCGCTCTCTCTCTATATATAATATCAGAATGAAGATATGTGAGACAATAGCAAGTGAGATGGGAAATATATATAAGTTGTTGAATACTAGTTAGCTAGCTTCGGGTGAGGATGAGGTATCCATTAAAGCAAGGAGCAACACCCTATTTATAAACTTTAAAAAACTACTTACACCACTGTTGTATGTGTGTGACAAAAGGGAATTGCGTCAAATTAGACTCTCTTGCTTCTCCTTTCCTTTATTCCAGTTTCTTTCTCTTTTGCCCTTTTTCTTTTACTGTTTTTCTTTTTCCATTATCAGCTAATTAAGCAAATAATTAAACATAAAACCTCATTCAGCTCATTCCCAAGTGCAGTATTCATCACACTTGGCATAAAGGCATCATGCTTCTTTACTGTATTATTGCTGAGAATCGCTTTAATGTTTCCCATAGCTTGCATATTTTGTGACCCAACCCCTCTTGCCATTGCTACTTTTTTGTCTGTCGATGCTTAGGGGTTGGTTATTCCCAGGGACTATTGTAACTAATTTCTTTATGTATTTTTTATTTTCACCCCAAAAAAAAAAAAAAGAAAAAGAAAAAAACTCAAAATACCTTAAAATAAAATTAAGAGAGGAAAAATATGAGTTTTTCATATTCATTTCTAAAACTGTCAGAAATAAAGTAAATAAAATTCTATCTAGAAGCAAAAGTAAATAAGTTTATGAGAGAAGATGATAAATAAGTCTAGGAGAATAATATGAGATTATAAAATAAAAGATTTTTCATTCAAAATATTGTTGAAAGCTTTCATACTTGGTTGATCTTATAATAGTAATATTTTATAGAAGACATAAACCCTAATAAAAAAAAAGTCATTCAATTAAAAATAAATTTATAAACTAATAAGATACTTGCATATTAAGTTTAGAATAAAAAGAAAAGATATCTTGAAAAAAGATCTATTTGCTTTGAAGTCTTAAAAAAGTAAAACCCTAATTAAAATAAACGTCTAACTTGTAAAAGAAGCAAATCTTTGCATGCAAAATTAGTTTTGAAAGTTGAAACCCATTTTGTGATTTTCATTTCTTTTAGATTGCGCATCATTCTTTCCCACTATTGTAAACTTAGCCTCAAAGTTTTAAAATGTCGAAGCATTAGAAAGCTTGAAGTTTCAAGGTAGTTCCAAACAAGAAAATATTCCTCAAATTAGTGTCTATTCAAATTAAATTACTTTAATTAAAACCTATAATGACTAAAACCTATTGTATGGTATTTATAGAATTAAAATAATAGCACAGTTTACTACAAAATATATATATATATATAATATTTGAAATATAAGAGTACTTTCAATAAGAAACGGTCTTTTGTTTTTTGCATTTTTGTCTATGACATGAGGGCACAACGT